AGAAAAATAAAAAGAAAAACAAAAAGAAAAACCTTCCAAAGAGACTAGAACTAGTTCCATTAAGTGCTTTACATGCTTAGGGAGGGGACACATAGCTTCCCAATGCCCCACAAAGAAAACAATGATCATTAGGGGCAATGAGATCCTAAGTGAGGAAAGCACTTCATCTTCTTCATGCTCCTCAAGTGAAGAAAATGAAAGCCTTAGTTCTAGTGAGGAAGCACCATGTGAAGGTGACCTATTCATTGCTCAAAGGTTACTTACCAACCAACCAAATGATCAAGACCAATCACAAAGAGAGAACCTTTTCCATTCTAGATGCAAAATTTTTAAGAAAATTTGTTCTCTTAGGTCTCTGCTAAATTCAAACACAGCTACTAACAGGCAAAGAAGACCTCACGCAAGGTCTATAAATAGGAAGCAACATTTAATGCAAAGATCTTGAGCATTAAATGAGAGATCAAACTAGTCATGAACGACTATATCTGCTTCAACGGACACTTGCAACGGGCAAATTCTACAAGACAATATATATATCACTGTCTCAAACCTTGAAAGGTTGGCTTTCAGATTTTGGCTCTACATTCTTAACAATAGTGATATCAATCCCACGAAGCAACGAAACCAGAGATAGAGCGCATAAAGTCAAATGTACCATAATGTATTCGTCTCTGTAGACCAAGGAGTTCTAAGTGTGCATCTCAGGAACATGAACCTTAATGAGTGTATTCAACTTATGTATCCTCTCTGTGAGAGTAGACAAAACACTCAATCGTTGTAAAGACTAAAGTTGCATACCTTAGTGAGTGTATAACCTATGTATCCTCTCTATGCGAGTAACCCAAACACTCAAACTATTGTTTAGTTGATATTTGTAAAGCCTGAAGAGGCTAAGGAAAGAATACTTGTAAACCCTGGAGAGGCTTGTCAAAGAATACTCACTACGAGCCAGAAGTGGCTGAGTAAAGAATACTAGCGTTGATAAGTGAAGTCGACGGGCCAAGAGTTGGTCGAGAATACTCACTAAGACCCAGAATTGGCTGATCAAAGAATACTAGCACTAATGGTGAAGTTAGCGGGCCAGCAGTTGGTCGATAATACTCACTTGGAGCCAGAAGTGGTTGAGTAAAGAATACTAGCGTCTACGAGTGAAGTTGACGAGCTAAAAGTGGTTGAGAATACTTGGGATCAGGAGTGGTCGTGATCTGGGTGGTCTATAATACTCACTGCGAGCCTGAAGAGGCTAAACAAACAATACTTGTACCTCATTGATTATCTAGTGAAACCCTTCATTTGCAGGAGACTGCATGTAGCTTAGTTTGAGTGAACCATTATAAAAATACTTGCTCTACGCTTTAATGTTTCAAACGCACTTTATTTGGTTGATTTAATATACGGAAAACTTCATCTAATGATTATCGTCTATTAAAACTATTTTTAGATGAAAACCATATTTGTTCAACTTGTTATCCTAAAGAACGGTTTTCATTTAAGAAGTATTTTCTCTAAGCAGACGATGAAATTCCTAGACTGAAAATGTTTTTGTAAAACCAATCCTGAGCAATTTCCGTTCAACATTCCCCAATACCTTTTTATTGGACAAAAAAGAGTCTTCATGCGAAAACATTTTTAAAATTCCTTTGTTCACACACACACACATATTCAAACCCCCCCCCCCCCGTTCTATGTGTTTTTCATCTAACTTCAAGCCAACTAGGAGTGATTAAGAAAACTCAGGATCAGGAGTGGTCGAGAATACTCACTGCGAGCCTGAAGAGGCTGATCAAAGAATCCTAGCGCTAATGAGTGAAGTTCACAGGCCAGAAGTGGTCGATAATACTCAGCAAACCAGAAGTGGTGATAATACTTGTACTTCATTGAATATCTAGTGGAACCCTACAATTGAAGGAGACTAGACGTAGCTCAGTCTCTGCGAACCAGTATAAAAATCCTTGCACTGTTTATTTATGTTTCAGACGCAATTTCACTTAACTGATATATCATATTGAAAACTTCGTCCAATGCTTATGCTTCACTGTAACTCTTTTTAAATGAAAAATACACGTGCTTAATTTAATATTCCTTAAGAAACATTTTCCTTGTGCAGACGATAAAATTTTCAAACAGAAAATATTTTGTTAAGCCAATCTTGCACAACCTTTAAGTATTCAAAATAAATTTTATTGGATGAAAAAGAAGTCTCTCTATGAAAATGATTTCAAAAGTTCTTCGTACACAGACACACATATTCAACCCCCCCTTCTATGTGTTTTTCGTCTAACTTCACCAACTAGTGGGACAATTTCTACACTTGATTTCTTTTTGAAATGTCTTTTGCAAATTGTTGATAGAAGTTTTGTAGCTCACTTGATTTTCTTGCCATTTAGACAACTAGATGTAATTATAGAGATGAATTGGTTATCTTTCAATCATGTCTTGTTGACCTGATTTAATAAAACTACTATCTTTGGCTAGTTTTTCGAGAGTAATAGTATGAAATTTATCACTATCAACCAAGTTAAGACGTCTTTGAAAAAGGATGCCCAAGTATACAAGATGCTAGCTTCTTTGAAATCTAAGAATAAGGCATGTAGTGAGTGAGATACTTGTAGTGTGTGAATCTCTTGAAATCTTTCTTGATGATATGTCCACTTTACAATCTAAGCATGGTATAGACATTTTCATAAATGTAGTACTTGAAACGAAACCTATATCTATAACACCCTATAGGATGTCTCTTTTAGAGCTAGCTAGGCTTGAAACACAATTAGAAGAGCTAGTAAAGAAACAGTTTGAGTCCTAGTATATAGGGATGGCAAAAATACCCGCACCTGGGGTATCTGCGAATAAAATTCGTTACGGATAATAAATAGATAGGCTAATTGGGTACCCGTGGATAATGGGAACGGATAATTTTTTACCCGTTTATAAGTGGGGCGGGGGCGGGTATGATGATATCCATACCCGCGGGTACCTGTTTAATAATATTTCTTAAATATCCTAATTATCCTTGTATCACATAACCCTAAAACTACACTCTCTCATCTTATTTTCTTACAAAAGTGAGGTTGATGAATAAGTTACCAACATGTGTTAAGCATATTATAGAATTATGTTGGATGTAATTTGATTAATTTTCTAACTTTGATTGAACCAATAAGATTTATGTATTTTAAGTTGTTTACTTTCGTTTAGAATTATGAGATTGAATTATTGTAGCTTTGTTATGAGACTTTAACTTACTTGTGAGATTGATGTATTTTAAGTTATTGATTATCTTGCATTTTTATTATTTCAACAAAATTAACGTTAAATACAAGTTCAAAATTAATATTGAATTTTTATTTTTAATATTTTAATGACATTAAATATAATCTTAAAATTATTTGTAATATAATTTTTTTAATTTCTTAAAATATTTATAAATATCCATGGATATCCGTGGGTATTCAAGAAATTCAATGGATACCCGCTTAATAGATACCCGCGCGGATATGGGGTAGGTATGGGGCCAATTTTCATCCAGTGGAGCGAGGGCAGATTTACTGTTACCCGCCCCTATGGGGCCCTATTGCCATCCCTACTAGTATATCACCTTGGGGAGCACTTGTCCTTCTAGTAAAGACAAAATATGGGAGTTATAAGGTTGAACGTAGATTACTATCAGTTGAACAAGGTGGCAATTAAGAATAGGTATCATTTTCCTAGGGTAGATGACCTTATGGACTTGTTAGTCGAATTGTGTATGTTCAACAAGATAGATATTAGATAAGGTTACCACCAAATCCATGTAAAGTTTAAGGATATCTTGAATACTACTTTAAGGACATGTTATGGACACTATGAGTTTTTGGTCAAGCCTTTTGGTGTGACTATAATGTGCCTATTGTGTTCATTGAATACATGAATAAGACCTTTCACCCATAGTTAGATAGCTTTGTAGTTGTCTTCATCATAGTGGATATCTTAGTGTACTTTAGGCTATAGGGAGGAACATGAGGAACATATGACGGAATTATGTTGTGAACCTTTAAGGATAGACAATTTCATGTTAATTAGTTTAGGTACAAGTTTTGGCTTGAAGCGGTTAGTTTCTTAGGCCATGAGATATCTAGAGGAGGCATAGTTGTTGATCCTTCTAAGGTATATTTTATTCTTAAGTGGGAAGCTTTGAATTTTGTGAGTGAGATTAAGAGTTTTCTGGGCTTAGTTGGGTAATATAGGAGCTTCATATAGAGTTTCTCTAAGTTAATTAGCCTTACCTTTGACCAAGTTGAATTGTAAGGGTCAAGTCTTTATTTGAGAAAGTAAGTTAGCCTTATCTTTGCCTTAAAACTTTTGAGACACTTTTATAGTTCTAGATTTAAGGTAATTTGTGATCATAAGAATCTTATATATTTGTTTAATTAAAAAGAGTGAAATATAAGAACGAGGAGACTAAAAGAACAAAAAATATAAATATATACAAACTAGCATGAAATGATTTTAAATATATGGACTAAAAGGTAAAATTTATAAAAATATACTCTAAAAGTTAAGTAAACCAAATTTAAAATACTGATAACAACATCTCTCGAATATAATTCATTCATACAGCACATTACACATCTAGGAAACAGTTACATCCACACGTTCATACTTAATCACATCAATATTAACTACTTCATCTAGAACTGAAAGTGGCATCATTACTTAATGCTAAAACAACAGAACTGCTATCCAAACTTGAAACCTGCTAACTTTTAAGAGGGATCTCCTCTTTAGGACTCTTAAGGTTACTCTTAAAAATAAAGAAAAGAAAGACTTAAAATTACTCAAAACCAACCCATATAAAGTGCCGCTTCAACGTATTATTCAAACATCAAACATTCTCTTTCTAACACTTTCTTTATCAAAAAGTAGTAGCAAGAGAATGCGGGTAACTTAAAAATGCAGGACAGACACGTTGTATTCAACAATTGCAACACTAGACTTAGGATCATAAAGATAAGTCTTAGCCAAAGCAAATCCCCTTGCATATCTGAAGATCCCACTGCCCCCAACAATAGGCATTTCTCTAACTGTTTCCGCAATAGGGTTCCTTCCAAGAATGCTTAGGGTGCTGGCATTGTAAATGCCCTCAGTGAAGACGAAATTGAGCACCATGAGCAACCCAAGCTCTTGGTGAGAAGCAATGGCATAGATACCCTGAGATCTTCCAACAAGCTTGGAACTAGGACTTGTTCCCTCAGTGAGAGGGTCATCCATCATGTAAGTGGCCCCAAAGCCACCAACGGATCCCTTAGGTGGCGCAACAATTTGCATGGCAGTTGGATTAGTTTTAGTTAAGTTGTCGTGGAAATAGAAGTGGAGTTGTGTGATTTTTTCCATGGGTTTTGGGGAGACAAACATGGGAGACTCTTTGGCAAAGGCTTCACTTGATGTGGTGGGTAAGGAACTTGACATCATAACAATGAGATTGAAGGCAAAGACAAGACTGAGAAGTGAAGCCATAATGGTATGATTTTTAGCCCATGGTGGCAAGCAGCTATATATAGGCCGGCATAGAAAAGATTTAGGTAAAACTAAACATGCAACACTTTAATCATTGATTGTTATTTTAAGAGTAATCACTTAAACAACTGAATATGAGCTTATTTTTATAGTGATTCGAGATTGCTATTAATATGTCACTTAAAAAATATATTTTAACTTGTTTTGAAAATAATTTTAATTTATGAAGAAGCTATTTTTTTTACCTAATTTTCTTTTCTTATAATTAATTATAGAAAAATTTATTTAAATAATATTTTTTGATTTTGCACTAATGTCTTAAGGTTTCATCTTGAATAAATCTAATTTGATCGGAAGATAACTAAAGTTTGACCAAAAATTAAACTCGATCACTGTCCAAACAATTTAACCTTAAGTTGAACACATTGACTATTATTTAATAATACAAATCTTCTTACACAAAATATTAAACCACTTATTTGACTATGCAAAAATTAACCGTTTAATTTTAGTTTTGTTGGTCTCCTTAAATTAAAAAAAAAAAATTGCTTACTTAGTTTCATCTAGTATTGCCATATATGCATTTATTTTTGTTACACCAAATTTTCACGAAACACTCAAACAACATCACTTTCCATTTGTTATTCTTTTCATTTCAACGTTTAGGATTTAGAGCTTTTGACCTAATTTAACTTTTTATGTTTTAAAATTGAGTAAGCTCTCAATTTAATCCTTGAAAGATGATAGAGGTGATCAATAGGTCTTTAAAAGATTTTTTGTGACATCTGAATCTCTAAATTTTAAATTTGTTATGTAAGTGAGTCCTTCCATTATATTCAGTTATTAATTTTTATGAACAATAAGCAATTAAGTGTTATGCTAGCACGTATTCTTTCTCTTAGTTAACATGCAACAATTTCAATCTATATAAATTTAAACACGTGATAAAGTAAGATTTAGTTTTAATTTAATTTAAAAATAATTGAAAAAATATTTGAATAATTTATTTCTTTTCACTCACTCTCATTAAAAATAATATAAAAAATGTAAGATAAAAATAAGAAAACTTAAATAATATTATTTAGCAAGTACCCACAAATATGGATACTACCGTATCCATCTTCATCCTATTTATAAATTAATTAAAAATTATACGTACTCGTTATTAATGAATATCCATTTAAGTTATCTATTTTTTTATTCATGTCAGATTTTATTCGCATATATCCATGAATACAGATATTTTTGTCATCCCTGTAACATGTTCAAGAATGTTTATTCCACCATTTTTAGTTATACCACTAAAAGTTCTTTCAGCGTGCCTTCTAAAGACATGCACACAAGATAAATTGACACATGGAAATCTAACTTTCATTTGATATAAAATAAAACTATATGAGGTAAAAAACAAAAAACAAAAAAAGCTTTTGACGATTTATTTTGATATAATAAAAACTATTTTATTTACATTCTTAATGTTAGACGTTTAGCTAGTTCAAAACAAGTCATTGGAATGTCATTTATAAATTTATATTTTACACTAAGTCCTGGTTTAAATCTATCAAATCATTTTATACCAAACTTGGAGTCTACCTTTCACGTACGTACATAAGCTAGTTTTTACATGGGTTAAAAAAACACTTCACATTGGCTATATAAGATGCTGATAATTTTTTTAAAAAAAATTACATTAATTATATTTTAAACGATCTAAAATTTTAAATATAAAAAATACGGCAACTTTAATCTATTTCATTTCGGCTGTACATATAATATACATTCCCTCATAAAATGTCTGTCTAATGAATATGATGTATATGCAGCCATTACAATATTATGGTTTTGGATGTTTGTCCAACAAGATTAATTTGTCAACAATTTCACACAATTTTCGTAAATATAGCATTGCATCTGCAACTGTTTGACCACAATTTAGAATCAAGGGTATAAATGTTGATTTCAAGTAGCTATATATTCTTGGTTGCTTGTTACACTCCTTTATTCAACATACGGAAAAATCATGATTATTTTTCTTCAATATAAGAATTGTACTGAGAGGCATGGGACTTTATACCATATATAGTTGTCACTTTATATGCAGATTTTATGGCACGTTTGTCTACAGTTTTGGAAGTGGTCGTGTATATATATATATATATATATATATTTTTTTTTTTTTTTTTTTTTTTTTAAAATGTGATACAAGTTTCTAGAATAAGCTATATTATTATAGAAAAAATACATAAGTGTATGATAGTAACTACTAAATGATACAAATTCCTAGAATTGTGTAGAAAATTACATATAGATAGAAAATTCTAAAATAAATATCTCTAGAATCTTCTATATATATAAAATATGAATAGTGGTGTTGAGGTCTATAAATAAGTCATGTACTCAACATTTTAAATAAAGTAACTAGTAAGTCATTTCCACTCAAATCTATTCCAACTATTACTCTATCAATATAAATTTGTCTCCCCGTTCTTTCTACCTATCAAAAAAGTTTTTATTATTTAATAATTCATAAACTAACAATATTGATATCTGAAACTATATAATTAAAGATGCAGAAAAATGCACTCACAGATACCTTTTGCAGGTTTCATCAAGATGATGTTTCTCATTTAACAGAAACTGTCATAACCTGTGGCTTCTTAAATCCATTAGATGAAATAAAAGCGATGTAGCACTCAAAATTTGAATGATCCAATACAGTGAATATGGAGATACGTACAATGGGCATGCGTTTATGTAACTTGACAGAATCATTGTCTGAGTATGCACGCGCATTCTGCTCATGCTTTTCTTGGATCATACTATTATTATTCTATCAATCCAAATAAAAAAATAAATAAAAATATGTGTTATATTGTTGTTTAGTTTTGACCATTTCATTTACACCAATCTTCTCATTTAATTGCTTTAAGCTTGAAGATGGAAATATATAGTATATTTATCAAACTAAGCGACTTCCATAATTAATTTAACATTACTTTTATTTTTATTTTGAAAAAAGAGGCATTTCTTCAATTTCTTTTAAAAAATAAACACATTAAAATAAATATAGAGTACGTAGTTATGTATGAATAGTAAGTGAAAGAAGATTAGAAGTGAGAAAGTTGTAAAAGTAAGATTAAAATATGTCAAAAAGAGAAGATCAGGAGAAAAAAAATAATTTATATATTTATATGTACTTATGATAAAGCAGTCTTACAAAATTAGTGACTAAAAGGTGGTTAAGAGCTTTAGTTTTTTTTATTTATTTATCAGGACTATAGTGAGATTAAGATTTTTTCTTTATATATATATATATATATATATATATATATTAAATAAAATTAAAATGCAAAAATAATGGATTCAATTTCATACACGTATTGTATTATAGAAGAGAGATATAGTTATAGAGTACATGTATGTTTGATGGGGTTATTTTTATGGTATTTGTCTGAGAGGATATTTTATGAATTATTTTTATAAGGTTATTACACAAACATACTCCACAATGATGAGATATTGTCCGCTTTGGGCCTTAGCCCTCACGGTTTTGCTTTTGGTCATCACCCAAAAGGCCTCTCTATCATTGAAGTATGTTTGTATTATATAAGTTGTTATTTGTTGTATTATTTTATCGATGTGGGACTTGTTTGAATCCCAACAATCCTCGTCTCAAACAAGGGACCTAACCTTTCATGCAGCAGAATCTGTCTTTATATAACACATTATATTTTTATGAGTTATGGGTTATAGGGTTATTGGTTGTCACTGAATCCAACTTGCGGCTCTGATACCACTGATGAGGTTATTTTATGATATTTGTCTGAGAGGATATTTTATGAGTTATTTTTATAAGGTTATTACACAAACATACTCCACAATGATGAGATATTGTTCGTTTTGGGCCTCTCAATCATTGAAGTATGTTTGTATTATATAAGTTGTTATTTTTTATCATATTTTATCGATGTGAGACTTGTTTGAATCCCAACAATTTTGATCATCAAACTTCTTTTGAAAATATGTATATTTGTGCTCTTCACTTGTATCTTCATTTATTATTGGCTCCTCCTCCAAATTTAAAGCAAAACTTTTTCCTTTCATATGAACATTGAATACTTCTTTGTTGTGTATATCTTTAATCACAACAAAAAATAATAATGATTCAAGACCAAAAATACATTATACAGATTGTAGACACTTAATTTTGTCTAGGGTACTAAAACAAGGAAATGAACTTTTAGCATGAAGAACAAACTCCCAAAGACGCGAAAGCAACACCAGAGCAGTCAAACATGACATCAGAAGGCCCAAAACCCAAAAAAAGTAAATTAGGAGCTCGAAACAGGTTGTTTCCAATCTTGAACGGGTTGTTTCAAACTACTAAAAAGGCCTAGAGACCCTATGTTGAAATGGGTCGTTCCTAGACTAGAACGGATTGTCTTGACACAAGTTGTTATGAGTAAAATTTAAAATCGGAACGGGGAATGAGCCGTTCCAGATTCAAATTTTACCCTAACAAACTGATCCGGAATGGATCGTTCCGGTGATCAGAACGAGTCGTTCTAGTCAATCTAATGTCTATAAATACGGAAGTTGGACACTACTCTCGAGGACCAAAAAAAATTTGCTTACTAGAATCCTAGATAACTCGAAAACTCTCTCTCTCCCTCTTCTTGTATTTCTTGAGAGTAGTGAAGTATATTGTAAGTGTGAAAGTTAGCCAAAAAGCGCCTCAAGTATTTCACATTTGAAGAACACTTTATATATAAAAGCTCGTTCAAGAGGTATTTCCGTCAATCTTCTCCTTCATCATCTACTTCTTTTATTGTAAAATATTGCTACAACTAATAAAAGCAACCATGTAGACGTCTTAGGGTAAATCACGTAATTTAAGTTTAAGCATGTAAATAATCATTAATAAAGGGAACCAAATATTTTAACCATTATTCTCTATCACGCTAGTTTCATCATAAGGGTACCGATTTGGGACGTTGTAGGGTGCCTAACACCTTCCCTATACGTAACCAAC